TCCAAGCCACCATGATCTCTCACCTAGATTACTGCAACCAGCTGGTCTCACCTTCTCTAAATCATTCTCCACTGTAATCAGCATAATTTTTTCAAAATGCAAATCTATCATTGTCAGGAAAGTTGAAAGAGAAGGGGTTCATTTAAGAAGGAAGGTATCAGATGCAAATCTGAGCACGTTATACCTTTGTTTAAAGTCCTTCCTTTTTTCTTTTCTTTTAGGAACTGACATGGTCCAGAAGGCCCTACATAATCTACTCTTCTGTTAGCTTCATGTCTTGTCACAAGCCCCCTCAGTCCAACAATACTGTTCTTCTTTTGATTTCTTGACGGAGCGGACTTCCTCCTGCCATGGGGCCTTTACATATGGTGCTTCTTTCATGGGAACATTCCTTCCATCTCTGAGATCTCAGCTAAGGTGTCACTTTCTCTCAGAAGTCTTCCCTGATTCTCAGTCTTGTCTACCTCTTTTCTGGAATGGTGTTCCTTTCCCTCAGAGAGTACTTAATTTATAAATTATACATTTGCTAGTATGATTATATGAGCAATGTCTGTCTATTCTACTAGATTCTGCTGTATTATCTGTGTTTGTCCACCCTTATTATATCTCTACCACCTACCACCATACGTAGCAATAGTGAAAATTCGTTGAATGAATAAACTGCTCATTTTCTTTCATCCTTCGTGTTGTATTAGGAGCGTTGTCCCACCTACCGTCTAAGGCAGATCCTTCACTTGCACTCTCACCTATAGGATGAAGAGCCTGTCCCCTCTCACCTTCTCAGGACATTCCTTCTGCTGCGCTTCACCATGTCCCTCCAGTTACTGAGCTCTCCTTACTAAGCCAGACTTCTCATCATCTCCATTTCCTCACTCCCAGTCACTTCTGAACTCACTGCAGTCTTCCTTCATCTCCCACTACTTCATTTAAACTTGTGTTTACCATATTACCAAAGCTGCCTACCAATGAACTCATGTAATTACAGGCAATAGACATGTTTTCATGTCTGTTTGGCTTGACCTGTCAGCAACATTTGACTACTGATGATATCTTCCTTCTTAAATTAACACTTTCTCTGAGCTTTTCTGGTGAGACACTTGGTTTCTCTCAAATCTTTCTGACCATTCCTTTTCTGGCTTTACATGTCCCAGTCCCTTGTTGATATTCTCAAAGCTCTGAAACAGCCCTCTTCTCTATGACCTCTTTAGGCCACTTCATTCATACCTATGGCTTCAGCTTCCATCTAATTTTTATAATTCCTTAGTTGATACTTTCACCCCAAATTCCTCTACTAACTTTACATATAATAAACTTTATATAGTAAATATATGTAATATACATGTTTAATATATACAACTGCTGTTCCCCCAGAGTTCTCTATTTCAGTTCATAGACACTAAGATATGCCTAGATCAGTGATGGCGAACCTTTTGAGCTCGGCGTGCCAGCATTTTGAAAAATCCTAACTTAACTCTGGTGCCGTGTCACATATAGAAATTTTTTGATATTTGCAACCATAGTAAAACAAAGATTTATATTTTTGATATTTATTTTCTATATTTAAATGCCATTTAACAAAGAAAAATCAACCAAAAAAATGAGTTCGCATGTCACCTCTAATACGCGTGTCATAGGTTTGCCATCACTGGCCTAGTCACTCAATAGAGAAACCAAAGCGTCATCTTTGACTCCTCCCTCTTTGCCACTATCAGAACCAATATATCTCAAAGCCCTGTCACTTCTACCCACAAATTATAGCTCAGATCTATTCATATATGTTCCACTTCATTGCTGGAATTGTAATAAAAACCATCACTATTCTGGCCTAGAGCATTGAAGCAACCTTCTAACCAGGTTTTGTTCCCCTTTATGTACGACACTGTAGCAAAAGTGGTCTTTAAGAAACCCCAATCCTGGCACTTCCATGCTTAAAAAAATCTTTAATTACCCTCACATTGTCCTAAGGTTATATCCTAGATAGATGTCCATGGTGCAGAGGAACTTGCACAGTCAGGTCCCTGCTGACCTCTCCAGCCTAATCCTTTAGCACTGAGCCCTCATACTATATTCCTCACTACAGTCCCTAGCAATTCATTCTCATGTCACCTGCACTTTTATTCAAGTTAAGATGACAACTCCATTGTGTCAGTTGCTTAAGCCAAAAAACTTTGGAGTTATCTTTGACTTCACCTCTCAGACCTCATATGAGATCTGTCAACAAATCACATTGGTTTTATCTTCAAAAATGAGAATTCCGCCACTTCTCACCACTCCATGCTGCCATCCTGGTTTAAACCTCCCTCTTCTCTTGCCTGGATTTTTGTAGTCGCCTCTCCCTGTTTCCTTTATTGCTCCCCAGTAATGTTTTCTCAGAGAGTAGCCAAAGTGTCCGTGTCCCTTCTCTTTTCAGAATCCTCCAGAGCTTCCTCCCCTTTCATTCAGAGTAAAAGCCCAAGTCCTTGCTGTGACCTACAGGACCTGCGCAGTCTGGACCCGTCAACCTTGCTGACTTACTCCTTTTCCTTTTCCCGCTCACTCTGCTCCAGCCATTTCCCATCTTGTCTGCCTCTGGCCTGCCTTATGGTTTCATGCATTATCATCAACTTGCAATGAGTTCTAGGTAAAGCTTTAGTGATATGCAACTTAGTAGAAAAATGTGTGAGTCTTTGTCTTTAGATGAAGTGAAGCTCGGTATCTTTTACTCTGCCGGGTGGAAGGAAAGAGAGGTGGGCATTTCCAGGAAGTGAGCAAAGGCAGAGGGAGATGAACCTGGTGTGTTCAGGTGCATAATGAGGTTGCAGATAAATCAGGCAGACAGGTCGGATGAGTTAGGCCCTGAAAGGGAGGCAGAGAAGTTAAAATGTAAGACACTGACTGATGAGGAAGCAGGGCTGAGAAGTGGCCAAAAAAAAGTCTTAAATAATAACACTGGTTTTTAGTGAGTAGAGGACAGGAATGCTGCTAAACATCTACAGTGTGCAGAACAACAAAGAATTTTCCGGAGTGGCAGTGGGAATGGAGAGATAAGCCTGTTTCACAGGAAAAATAATTTGTTGACTTGGTGAATCACCACACATATAAAAAGCAAAGAAGGCGGGTAAAATGGAATGTCACTCGGGGCCTGAGTAACTGATAAAAGTTGTGGTGGAAAACTAAGGGGGACAGGAAAAGTGTGTTGAGTTTGCAGTGAAGTCATAGCCTCAGAGCATACTGACTATGGATTGTCACCTTTTTTCTACTACTCTGGGCAGAAGTCATCTTAATGCGCATAATAAAAATTTAAAATTGCCCTATTTGAACTTTTGGCTCTAGTCACTCTTTAGATTTGTTTTAATGTTACATATACACCTTGTGGTTCTTTCTATAAAGAAGTCCCAATGAAGTAACAAAGCCGGTGTAGTGAAATCTGTTTTTTCAGGAATGTAGAGGCTTTGTTTTCAATGCATGCCTATCTCAATGTACTCTTTTTTGACATTTGAAACACTTTCTTTATTTATAATTTGAAAGTGGAGATATTTGTGCATTTGGACAGCTATGCAGATAGTCTGTGTGATGGTTTCTAGAAAGAATACCAACTACAAAGTGCACAGCTTTAGGGCTCTAGTAGATTTCTTCCAAAGTGCCCCTGTGTTGTTAGTTCCTCCAATTGCCTAGTTTCTCTGCAACTACCCAACACAAATGTAATGATTCTTTCATCCTGTGAAAGCCTGGCGTTGCACTTTGCTTATCCGGAATTTGTTTTGCGGTCATTTTTATGCATCTCAATTTAGAACCAAAGCACATTTCATAGTTTATGTGTTCCTGCTTCTGTTAAGTACAAACCTGTTATCTTCCCGATGGGTGTGCAAAGCATTTGGTGTTCCTTTAGTGCGGAATAAAAACAGTTCATGATCTTGCTCACTCTCCAGTGCCTGTGCATTTACAGCACAACAGATTTACCTTTTGGACACTGTAATCAGCAACTTTCGAGAATTTAATATAAAGCTTTTAAATTTGGTTTCCTTCTATTTTCCCTAGAAAACATTATCCCCCAGGCTTTATGGGATATACCTTTTCCTCAGGCAGTTGAAATTCAGAATCCAGTCATTGTCACCTGCCATTCATTTCAGTAAGATCATTTTATTCTTGAGAATAATTGTAAATTGCAAAACTAAATAAGGTGGCGTTTTCTTCTTGACCCTGTCTATGTTGTGAATGATCTGTTTGTAGTGAAATCTATTCGAGAGGATAAAACGTAGGCTTGGTCTTGAGAATTGGGAAAATATGACTAAGTAGGTATACTGTACCCTTTTCTTCTTCATTTGCAGGAGTAGGAAAAGGGAAATAGCGAGGGAAACTTATTCCCTAAAATAACTCATTATCTTTATTTATAAAGATCCACAGATCTAATGCCTTTGTTGCTTCTGTGAGTCAGATTAAAATGGAAAGTCTTAGGAGAACTCTGTGGCAGGAGTAATTTGCCTTGGAGACATAACATGCAAATAGCCACCCCTGTGAATATGAATGAATTTTTAATGCATTCTCACTCATATTGATACTGTTGATTTGACTGGCTATCTTAAATGAAACAAATTGTATAGATTGCTTTTACGTCTGATTTTTTTTTCTTAATTTTTCTTTCTCATTTAGTAGTTGAGGTGTTGGGTCCAAGGTATTAGAGGAAAAATTTTCTAGGGTCTTATTCTTAGGGTGATAAGGTTTGATATGTAAATATGGAACATAGTGGCCTCAACTCCTTGGGGTTAGTAAGCCACTTTCTAATATATTAATCCCCTGTTGCATGACCTATTCAGTTTTTTCTTTGAAACAAAGCAGCCATTGTTCTGATTTGACTAATTCAATGAAGATATTAAGATAATAGGTTGCAAAGACTATAAGTGATTTAGTCCAAGTATTTAGATGTTTATGCTGTATCCAAGAAATTCCCACCTTCATCTACAACCTTGAGGTTGTTTTACTCAAGTTTTTGAAAACTTCTGACCCTGCTTTACCTTTTCTAGGTTTCCATTATACCCCAAAGGAGGGGAGAAATTGCAATTTGATTACGGTGTCTATCTTCTGAACAAAAATATAGCACAGGTAAGTAATTCCTCTTCACTCCTTTCCTACTTTCTGCATACACCCTGCTTCTTTGGATTGTAAACCCTCTTTGTTTATAAATAAGCACTACAGTTGACTGTTTTATTTAACCAGGTACAGTATTCATGCAAAGTTCATTTTTGGCGACAGCCTTATTCTGTGCCATTATAAATACTACCGTGAAGCAATGGGTACGAATTGGAATCCTCCTGCTAAACTCAGGAGCCCATTACTGGGTTGTTACTGCTAGTAGACTGTACTTGAATGTGGACTTTACAACCCCTTTCCTCTGCAGCTGACCAGTAATAGCTTCCTTCTCTTAGACCACTTCTAGGGACTCACTTTGCATTGGGAATTGTTTATGGAGTAAAAGTTTAGTGGCTTTGGCAAGTCCTTCATGGTCTCCTCACCTTAGTATCCAAGGCCAGAAAGAAAAGACCAAGCACATGGTCCTTCCAACCTGTCTTGTTTTTGTGGTTCTCCTGACACCACACCAGTTACCATCTCATCTAAATAATGTCTTTCACATGCCCTGAAAGACTAGCATGCTTGCTTGGGTTTGCGTTTTCCATGCAGCGTTTCTGTAGCATACTTGGCTCTACTTCCAGAGGTAGACTTCCATAAATGCCCTAGTTGTACAGGAAGGTCAGCTTCAGTGCTCTGTTTTTATTTGGACATCCTTCCAATTGGAAGAGAACATGGGTGAGTATCCAGGGTTTGGCTGTTATTGGAAGAAATTATAAACTGTATCCTCAGATCTCTCCATTTAATAGCAACAATAAGGTTCATGATTTTTTTATTTATCTGAGCCAAAATTGCCTTTTATCTATGTGTATCTAAAGATTCACCAAACAATTCCCTTAGTGATTCCTGGCAGATCTAAAATTATTCCTTCATACGATGTCATCTTTGCCTTTTTTCACCTCATTCAATCTCAGTTGAATGTTTATTTTCTACTTTGTTTTTTATTAAGATTCTTATCCTTTTTACCATTGGATAAAATTTCTAGTTTGAGGTCCTCAATTAATCACTTGCTTTAAAACCTCACACTCATTGCCCTCAGTCACACTGCTTTTATTGTTACTACCACCCCAGCTCATGTTCTACACTCCAGGCAGGCAGCCTTGCTCGCAGTCTCTGGCTTGTGACTCATCTTTCCATGTGCCCTTCTTCCCACAACTGATGCTTTCCCTCTGTTTTGGCAGAAAAGTATCTCAGTCTAAGAAACAGGACTTTCATTTCAAGGCTGCCAAACTCACACTACTGATCACAGTTGTCATACTATGAAAAAGGCAGTGCTGAGACAGAACTGGTCAAGAACTGACCAGACTAAGGGTGCATTAAGGAAGAAGAGGTCTAAGTAAATTAGGGGACCTGGATACTGGGGCCCACAGTCCGGCAGTCAGGATATCAGTAACGTTGGCCTCATTGAGTAGAACTGAGTTCTGATTGAGTTCAGAGGTTCTTCTCTTACCCTATTTTCTTTATCTTGCTCTAAGTACCTAGGCCAGTGATGGCGAACCTATGACACGCGAACTCATTTTTTTGGTTGATTTTTCTTTGTTAAATGGCATTTAAATATATAAAATAAATATCAAAAATATAAATCTTTATTTTACTATGGTTGCAAATATCAAAAAAATTTCTATATGTGACATGGCACCAGAGTTAAGTTAGGGTTTTTCAAAATGCTGACATGCCGAAACCGGTTTGGCTCAGTGGATAGAGCGTCGGCCTGCGGACTGAGGGGTCCCAGGTTCGATTCCGGTCAAGGGCATGTACCTGGGTTGCGGGCACATCCCCAGTGGGGGGTGTGCAGGAGGCAGCGGATCGATGTTTCTCTCTCATCGATGTTTCTAGCTCTCTAGCTCTCTCCCTTCCTCTCTGTAAAAAATTAATAAAATATATTTTTTTAAAAAAATGCTGACACGCCAAGCTCAAAAGGTTCACCATCAGTGACCTAGGCCCTAGGTTAGAAGGCTGTTGGAAGATTCCCGGTGAAACCCACTCCTAATTAAAGCTAGGGCCAAAATGCCTGGATTTCCTCATAAATCCCAGCTTCTCTCTCACACACACACATGCATGCATGCATGCACACACTTAGTTCTTTCTTCTTAGGACCCAATAGGAATGCCAAGAGTTGGTATAAAGAAGTTCTAAGCATAGCCCAGCTTGTTTTGAAAACAGGACACAGATGGAGGCCGATCGTGTGCATGGAAAATTGGGTGAAGTCAGCCCTCCGCATCAGACTCTTAGTGTCTGTCTGGTCCTCACGTGGGAGCACTTCCCAAGTAGCCTCTGACTTTATTCTTAACTGAACCAAGGCCACAAGTATGTTGAGCTAATTTTATTCATCTGTTTAAAAAATGGATTACTTCTAGTAATTTTGTATCATCTGTAACTTTATACTCTTTTTGAAAATGAGAGGTTACACTTGTGTTTTTGTTTAAGATTCATAGGTTAACCACTGTGGTTTTTTATAACTATTGTGGCAGTTTTAAAAGGAGAGAACAATAAATTTCTTAGAAACAGACTTCCTTAGGTTTCAGAGTTCATTCAGGAAGCCCCTTTCTTAGCATTTAGAAAGAAACTTTTAGCACATTTATGACCTTTAACTTTTCTTTGCTTCATCTCTTTTCTTCAACTTACTGTTTCTTGAGAATGTTTCATTCTGTCTTTGGCCTTTCTACCATCACTTCATTACATTTCAACTTATAGCAAATCAAAGAACCATTAATTATCACGGCTTCTAGCCAGGTAGTATATCAGTAAGTATTTCTAACTTTTATTTTCTATACATATATCCCAATACATGTTGTCAAAGGGGAGTTTGTCTTTTGAGCCAGTCTCATTTATACCCCATCTCTAGAGATGTGAACAAATCGTACCATTAAAACGGCCCCACCTCAGTAATCTGTAAGCCACGTTAGTGGAGGCGGATGAAAGCACTGGCATGTGTTAAAGTGCCAGAGAAGAAGTAGTGAAGTCATTTAATACCGAATCCATAGCTCGGTTAAGGATTTGAATGAATAGTCAATAGGACCTTTCATCACAACCAGAAGTAGTAGTAAAATCACTTTTTTGGTAGAGGAAATGACAGAATTTAGTAATATTTGTTACTTCAGTATTTGGGATCAGTCCAGCCCAAGTTTTGAAAGCACAAGCTTAGAAAGACAGGCCTTCAAGTAGAAATCCTAAAGTGTTGTTTGAAGAGCTGAGAGGATTAGTGAGGCCTGCTTGCCCTCTTCCTGTCATTGCTGTCTGAAGGTGTGTGTGCTGGCGTGGTGTTGCAAGTGCAGAAAGCAAAATGGCTCGTTTTTAGCACCATTTGCTAATATTTTTCAAGTGTCAGCCCTTTGTCTGGAAATAGCACTCTTTGTTGGTCAGCATTTAACACTATATGAATGGGCCTGGCAAAATTCAGGTGCAGTGTAATTAACACTGACTTAAAAAACCAGGTCCTGCCATAATTGTCAGTAAGTTTTTATAAGTATATTAGAATTTGTGGATAGCTTTTAGTTCCCAAAGCATAAAAAGTAGTAAATCAAAAAATTACAATACTTTTATCTTACATTTATGGAGAGCTTTATAGTTTATGATTCACATACATATATATTCATGTAACCTTGTTATCACCCTACAAAGTGAAAAGAACAGCTAATAGTAAATGAATTTGAAAACAGAATGGCTTTTGACATCCGTCACTCCAGTGCAGTATCACATAATCCGACGTATACTTCATTGTTTTTTATATTTTCATCCTAAGCCTGCGCAAAATCAAAAAGGTGACTTTCCCAAATAGAAAAGAAACTGAATATCCATTTTGCACGTTATGAGATTTTCATGAGTAAGCACAATGCTTGAAGCACTACAGATTCTCAAAAGATATTTTAATAAATGAATGAATTGTGAGGTAGCACCATCACACGGCTAAGAAACTGAGTTTCAGAAAAGTTTCTGAAGAAAATGTGAAATATATAATATTCCACTGTATGTATATGTACACAGACATAAAAATGAACGAAATCTTGCCATTTGCAACAACATAGATGGACCTTGAAGGCATCAGACAAAGAAAAACAAATACTGTATGATCTCACTTATATGTGGAATCTTAAAACAAAAACTGACCACAGATACAAAGAACAAGTTTGGTGGTTGCCAGAGGCAGGGGGTGAAGGGGTGGCCAAAATGGGTGAAGGTGGTCAAAAGATATAAGCTTTTAGGTACGTAATAAATAAGTCCTGGGAATGTAATGAATAGCATGGTGATTATGGTTAATAATATCTTATTGTATATTTAAAGTTGCTAAGAGAGTGTATCTTAAAAGTTCTCATCACAGAAAAAAATTGTAGCTGTGTGTTGTGTGGATGTTAATTAGACTTATTGTAGTGATTATTTTGTAATATATATGTATATCAAATCATGTTGTACATCTGAAACTAATATAATGTTATATGTCAATTATATCTTAATAGAAATTAGTAATTACATTATGGGAGATGAGCTAATGGATTGAATTGGGAGATGAGGAAAAAGGAGTAATCAAGAATGACTCAGGTTTTGTGCATGAGCAACTGGAGGATGAAAATACCATTCAGACAACTCTAAAAAATGGGTTAAGGCCAGGTGTTTTTTTTTTTTAAATCTGTTTATTTTGTGGGGATGTGGAGTTGTTGGTTTGTGTGTGTTTTTAAGATGGGAAGTATCAGTTCATGTTTATATGCTTATGAGACTGATCAAATAAAGAGATATTATCAATACAAGATAAAAAAGGGATACTTGAAAGAGTAGAGTCTTTGAGAAGGGATGAGGAAATAGGATAGAACATAAGTGAACATGCTGACATAAAATAGGGAAAAGAGACTTTCAACCAACTTACAGTTTTACAAAAAGCTGGTTTCACTTAAGAATTTCCTTGACGAAGCAGTAAAAATTAGTCATTATATTAAATCTTGACCGTTTAGCACATATCTTTTTAATATTCTGAGTGATGGTAA